TAGAAATTTCCTTTGGTTTATAAACTTGTTGGCCGGTTTTGGTCGTTCTCACCAAGCAAATGCGATGCTTTTGGTTTTGCACGTCAAGCTTTGCTTGCTCAATTAAATCTCTTTTCATTTCGAAACCGTTGGCAGTTAACCATACCGCATGAATGGAGAAAAATTGAGCATATTCAAATTTAGTGGCAAAAGTTGGGGGCGTTTTACTTTTATAGAATCGTTGAGAAATTGTTTCTTTTTTTTCCGACCCGGCCCTGCATCGTGAGAAATCTCGCCGTTGAAACCGGAATTGGGCGGTGTTTAGGTGAGTCCCTTTAATTTTCAACCGGAAGTCTCGGGGTTTTGAGGTCAAGAGGTCACGTGAAAAGGGCAAGTCCCTTTTGGGGGTCAAGAGGTCACGTGCAAAGGGGGAAAGTCCTTTTTTAAACCGAAAGTCACGAGTTTTGCCACTCGCCTTTTGACCCGTAAGTTGAGCCCAAATTTTGTGCGCAGCCGCGAGCAGTTGGGGAAATTCCCTAGATTGGGGGAAAATCCCTCTGGCTTGGGAAGCCGTTTTTGACCTGGGAAGTGGAACAGAGGGGCTGCGCTGGAATCAACCGTTTCCATACTACTTTACGAATTAATAATCCGTAATTACGAATTACTAATCCGCAATTACGAATTCTGAACACATACTTGCCATGTCACTAATAGGCTTTCGTAGTTTCCGTTTGCAGGTGATTGACGCTTCTTCTTAATCGTGAGGGGATGCAAGTTTGGCAATAATCCTGGAACCTTGCACCATTAATTATGGCGAGTTTCTCCCCTCCCGTCACCTCTACTGCCATCCACCGAGTCCGTGACTTTTCAGGGCCCAATTTTTAATGGCACTGCTGAACAGTTGGCAGAAAAGCTGTTCTCACTATAACAGAAATTACGTTCAAGTGCTCTTTGGCGGTGTTTGGCGTGGTTGTGGTTACGGTCATGTCTTATTGAGATTTCCATTGTTTGTCACAGCATTAAGAAAAATTTCCTTCCAAAGTAACCATGTCTTTTGCTGTACTTAATGATCACGGTTTCCATGAAATACGGCGTGTTTCTCAGTGTAAAATCGAGAGCTTAAACGCGCTGTGAAATTGGACCCAAGTGACTGGCAAGGAAGCCTACCCTGATTAGGGCTTTGATAAGCCGTCCCACGAATAGTCAGTCCCGTTAGTTGGCAGTTTTGGCACACCAACATCGCCTCCCAAGAGACATTGCCACTTTTGGTTAAATCACGACCAATTCAGAATCATGCAGTTTGACTTTTAATTTTTTTTTGTTGGAAGTGCCAGTTTTACGGTCAGGAACTGACCAAACTTAGAAGACACCAATGTAACACAATTGCATGTTAGCGTGGCACGAGAGTGGACCTCTCTGTTTCTTGCTAGTTTCCGGCGAGGAACATCCTCCTTCACGGGATGCCGGGTACCAGAGTGCTCTGTGTGGCCTATAAAAGTCACTTTGTGCCCTGTGTCTTCCCATCTGTTTACGATAGCCGTGGTGAGAGCAGCTTCATGTTATAAGCTCAGAGTGAATAATCCACTGAATTCTTGTGAGTCCTAGTAAACTGGACAGAGTGATTCCCCAGTCAAGAGCTGTGTGATTTATAATCGTAAGAGCTGGAAAAAAATGCCTGTATAGGTACGTCAGCACTAAGCACCAGTACATGAATTTAACAACTAAAGGAAACTCAGATCTTGTGACTAGTCCACATCCGTCCCATCCCTCTAAAACAGACCAAAACCCAACCTACCTAACCCATTCCAACCAGACCCGAGCCAATCAATCCCAACAGACCCAACCTAACCCAATAGAAAACTGTCAACAACCAATGTTTACATCTTAATTACAATAGACCAACTGTTACAGTAACCAAAACATATTCAGCATGGCAGGACAACATTGCAGAATACACATACACACACGCGTATTCCGAAATTACTCTCCTGGACTGACATTTCGACTGAATGTCCCTTACATGAAACACTTCAATTTACAACGATTCTTACACATTAAAAATCTATCCTCTTTAGGCAATTTCACAGTATCAAATTCGTGAAATCCTTGTGGAGACCTAGGCCGTTTCCGATACTCGACTTGGGCTCCGTCTTCAACTGTTTTTTTTTCTTCCTGACTTTGAGGTTGTAAGCAATAGTAAGCCTAATAGTGCCACAAAAGACCAAGTAAGATACAAAAAAGCCAAACATTACAGTATTTCTACTTAATTTAAATGCTTCAGGCCCATGGATGGTTTCCCACACCAAGCCTGAGACGGAGACGAAGTTGAGTATTGGAAAATGCCCCAATACACCTTTAGAAATTCCTTGTGAAGACCTATTCAACCCATTCTTCTGGGTCTCCACAGGGCACCACATTTCAAAACACACATACCTGTTTTACATACAAAGTGTGGAAATTCCTTTGTTCTCCTGTGGTTAAAGAAACTTGGGGAAAATGCTGCTTTTTCTCCAACAAGGAGAACTCCTCCGAGCTGGATTTTTGATGATGATTTCCTGGTCTGTTCCTCTTAATTTTGCCACAAATAACCTTGACCTAAAAAGCCTCTGAAACTGTTTTCGGAGAGGGCAAAACATTGTGTGGACATGTGCGAGTTCACACAGCGCTGTCGCACCCTACATAATGTGGACTTATTTTGTGAAGAGGTCCACATTATGTATGCCATGCCTGCACACCCTTACCTGACATACCTAGTGTGGACATTCCTTCCTTTTCATGCAGTTAAGAAAACTCAATGAAAATACTTGTTTTCTTTGAACTGGGAACACGATTTTCAGCTGACTTTTTGTATACGGTTCCTTTTACGACAGATGACCCCTAGCCCAAAATACCTCTAAACTTCTTTTTCAGAAAAGGGGAAACATCCTGTAGACATGTGTTAGTTCACATAATGTCTTCCTTTCCTGCATAGTGTGGACATCTTTTGTTCACAAGTCTACACTAGGTGTGTAAGGTTAGCGTGCACACACACACACACACACACACCCAAACAATTTTTGGGAACCAGTCTTCAAAGTGAAAGGTGCCTGAATAAGACTTGGAACTCTGCATGGTGGAAGTACTAAATTAGGTGAGGCTTGCAGTTGCACCACGTACAAGGAGGAATCTCTTTTATGAGTGTGGTTCTGAGAAGACCCGACGGTGAAAACTCGATGTTCTGAACTGTATACTCTGTTCATATGTGTATTCGTCTGTGTTCATCACCCTCCTGAAGATGAACAGAGCATACTGTTCAGAACGTCGAGTGTTCACCATCGGTTCTTCTTAGAACCACACACTTATAAAAGTGAACGGTGACTGTTCTATCTGGCATATTTAGTAGATGTACACATGTATACAACTGGAAAGTTTCCATTAAATAGAAATATTTTTTAATTAATTTATAATATTTATTTCTAATGGCGCCTATCAAAAAAACCAAGGTCAATTTTTGAAAATGCCCAAAACTCTGAATTATTTTATTTTATTTTTTTCCCTTGTAAATGAAGTGACTTGCAATTACAAGGATGTACATATGTGCAAAAAGTGTATTCACTTCACCAGAACTAGTGTTCTCACTATCTTAAGAGTTCCCTAAATAAAAAAAATTAATAATCTGAAATTTGATGAACCCTCAATACAATTCAGGTATACTGGGAATACTGGGAAGCCTTTCAGCTTAAGAATATTTTGGTTACAGAGTTTGCTAACTAAATCAGGTTCTGTCAGTGGTCTAAAGAACTCTGTGACATTGACTGGTAGCAAAGATTTCAAACTGTTCATAAGAATTGAGATGGTCTTAGTTAATCACATTTTTTTTCTCTTTAAATCTGTCTGCAAGATTTAGAATACTTGGAAGTCTTGGTTTAGGAATATTTAGGTGACTGGTTTTGCTCTCTAAATCAGTCTGTACTGGTGGTCCAAATGGCTCTGATACACGAATGGTAGAAAGGGATTGAAATTGTTGCATTATGTTCTCCAGTGGCGTATCTGTCTTGTCTTTGTACACTGCAAGTTCATCCTCATTTGGCTTCACACATTCATACTCCAATCCTGGGGGCAACTCATCATTCTTAGCATCCTGTTTGACAACTCCTGCCTCCAGTGGTGGAAACTGAGTGGAGTTCTTGTTCTGCAATGAATTCCTCAGACGGTTTTCTTTTGCGATTGCTTTTTTAGTCCCATGTTGTTTTCTGATGCTTTCACTGTCACTGTGTTTCATTTTGTTCTCATCGCTTAGTTGTTTACTCTCCACCTGTGGCAATTCTTGTTTAACAGTTTCTCTTCTTCGTGAAGAATGCGGTTTTGCATGGTCTCTTTTAACTGCATGGCCAAAAAATACAAAACAGACATTAAAGCAAGAGTGGAAAAGACGGAATTTCATTAAAGTTGTCTTGTATTTTATATAGGAGTAACTCTCCTGGAAAAAGTACAATATCTACCTGTTTATTTAAGCTTAAGGCTGCCCCACTATGAGGCTTGGGCCCGTGGTCAAGTCCCATTCATTATAATGAAATCATATTCAAACCAACAGTGAAAAAATGCAAGTGTTTCACCCCCAGAAGTGCACCCCTGCCTGAGTTGGTTTCTTTGTTTCCCTGACTCCACTTGACCCAGACCTAGACCCAGACTAATGTTAACTAAGGCTGATGTTGCTCTTATACTGCTGTTAGAGTAAATGTGCCAGTGGAATAGGTATACGTATGCAGTCCAAAAAGCTCAATCACAGGTTCCTGCAGCACATTTTTTTCCAGCCACAAGTGAAGACTTTTCTGTTGTCTGTTCTAGGCCTAATTGTGTTTAAAATTTGGGGGGGGTGTTTGGGTGGATGTAGCTCTTTGGAGCCCGCATACCTTGTTTCTCCCCCCCCCACCACCACCACCAGTCCTATACCCAGCAAGAAATGAGATCGAGGGGTACACCCCACATGTCCAATTCCTATACACATTCCAGACTATTGTTACTTAACACATCCCCCCAAGATGTCTGAAAGGAATTCCCCAGATTCCTGCGTGACAATGACCAACACAAAGCAGGAGGGGTTCTCTCCGTCTCATACCCTGCTGCATATGACCAGTCCATACCAAATTAAAAGAAGACAGGCAGTTTAATGAAAATAATATTCAATTTGTTTTCTTGCCAGCTGGCTCGTCCACCGTAAGTGGAGACGTTTGGACAGTATGGCTGATTTGTCCAACGGTTCCAGCAGTAGGCCTACTACATCTGTTGCTCCAAGTGATGACACGTCTGACGTCCAGGAGAACTATGGTGTGACCGCAATGCAAACCAGTAATGAGGTTGGCTGCAGGAAATGGGACAAGAAACACTTCTGCTTTTACTGCGATGTACCCAGGCCAAGCTCCCCCGTCATCTCCAGTCATGTCACAATGAAGAAAGAGAAGTCATCAAGATTGCCGGTGAGCCCAACGGTAGTGTGCGTAAGAAACTTTTGTTAAAAATTTGCAATATGCAAATATTTGCAAATTTGCAATATCACAGGCACAATTGTCAGGTTCTTTGTGAAGTCCGAGGTGTGCTCGTTGTCAGGTACAGGCCAAATCACAAGGTATCTCCCTACGCATATGGACCATGCGTATATTGTTAAAGCTATTATGTGAGTACCGATTTGTGGTGAGACGTGTTCCCTTTGAAGCCAGCACCCACTCCACAGACTGACAGCACTGGTAAAGAGGGCTGATGTGGGTGGACGGGTTGCTCACAAGAGTGATTTGTTGAAACCTCCTCCTGTTGGCATGTCGTTCCAGTTACACCAGGTTCTTAGTCCAATGAAGAGAGATGATGTGGCTTTGGTAGTCAAGAATGACACGTCGATTGTTGAATTAGCCAAGTGTGAACACATGAAACTAGGGCACGATGTAGATCAGCATGGCTACATCCATAACGGGATAAGTGAATTGGGTCGACTCCTCGTACAACTCCGAAAGAACACCCAGCAACCAAATGCATCACTTGAATCATTTGTCCATCCGCACCACCTTTCTGATATTGTGAAGGCTGTGCACGATATTGCTGGCTTCAGGGAAGACAAGCAGTTGTACGATGTTCCGTCACTAGCGCTGAAGATTGGTTATTCCATCAAGAAGTGTGCACTCATCTAGAAAGAAAGTGCCCTAGAGTCTGGCCAAAAACACAAAGCGGAACGTGCGGAAGAGTTTCTACAGTTGTGTGAATTGAACTGGTGAGACCTTGTGTCCACACACGCACACAGAATGCTGAACCAAGGCTGGCCTTGACAATCCATCCAACATCCGGTCCACCAAACTCCTTAAACATGCAGAAACTGCATCGTTAATTCTTGCATTAAAGGAACATCAGCTTGAAACTCTGGCCAACTTCATGGTCCACGATCTGCGGGAACATCACGAATACTACCAGTTGCCAGATACCGTACAGCCGGTCACCAAACTGTCCAGACTTCTCCTGAGTTTGGAGAGGGGCAACCTGCCTTCCCAGCAGGGCAAATCCTTGGACGATCTGCATGTAACTGGAGGTAAGGGCACCTTGTACTCAAACCACATTTCCCATGTTCCGTCTACCCAACGCTTGGCTTTGAAACGAGTCAATCCAACCCAGACTCCCAGTTTGTAGGGCATCATACTCAGCCGGAAATAATACCTCTCTTCCTATTCAACCCCCCCTCCCGAAGAACAGACCAGTACAAAGAAAGAAGGGGACCAAAAATCTCCCCAGTAAATGTTTCTTGCATCAAGAACTCCCAAAATAATGTTCCATTTTGGCCGGCCACTCCCCCCCCCATTCCCAACGCCAAGCAGAGACTGCCAGACACCTGTGCATGTATGTGTGCTTTAACTGATTGATCTCAATTTGGGGTTTACTCTCAGGAGGCTGCACTAGTGAAGAGGACAGCAGCAACAGTGGGGACAGCAGTGACAGCAGTGAAGACTTCTGCGATGAATCCATCGAAAACGGTAAGATTTGGTCAGTCTGTCGGTCTGTCTGTCGGGCTGTCTGTCTGTTACTCTGTCGGGCTGTCTGTCTGTGACATGGACAGGCTGTCTGCTGAGCTGTCAACTACATTTCTAATGTCCTTTTCTTGCCTCGACATTAATAAGACAGCTTCCTGGTGTTGCTGCTGCATCATGAAGAAGGGAACCCTCTCTGCCATCGAGACCAGTGAAGCGCCTTCCCTGGACTTACAGCGGAGAAGACAGACGTCCAAGAAGGCCTGCGCAAATTCTTCCACTTGTGGAAAGTTCCTGGCAAGCTGGACATTGAAGCAGCTTGCACTGTGGTGCTGCAGACCCGTACTTGGAGAAACATCAAAGACTTTTGTCATAACACAATGAAGTTGTAGCCACACCAACCATTCTTTCTAGACATTATACCATATTGATGATGAACCCTATAGTAGTAGGCCAATAACGCAACCTATTTTTAGTGGCACAAACAACCAAGAACTTTTGTGTGTTGTCCTCGTGTTATAGGCTGCACTCACATGGAAGAAAAGTCCTCTGTCTGATAGTTTGGAAAGTATGCCCTCCATCTGCAGTTTCTACATGTATACATGTGCTTATACATGGGGCCTTGTGGGGTACTGGAACAATGGGAAGTACCCCATGGGGCCAGTTTTTACCTTGTGGGGTACCAAAATTGGCACTCCATAAGAATTTCATGAAACTGATATTTGGAAATAACTCAAAAAGGGGAAATTTTTGATGGGTAAAAATCTGTTGCAAATTGAAGTCTTTTATATAAGGGACATACGGTCGAAATTTCAACCCAGGAAAGTGAATTTGGTTTAAATTGGAGTGATTTGAATCTTTTTGTGTGTTGTGTGGGAGTTTTGTACACAAGAACAAAGGAAATACCCCACAAGTATAGCCGTGTAAGGGTGAGTGTGTAAACACCTTCAATTGTGGACCTATAACAATAGGGGACAATAGGGTCCAAGGTTGCCAAAGAGTCCACGGTTGGAAAATGACAAAACATATGGGAGGTCTTCCGAAAAAGTGTGAACAAAAGAGGAACAATAGGGAGTCCACGACTGAAGGCGTTACACACTTGTGTGTGTGTGTATATATATATACACATTTTTTTTTCACTAGTTTGTTTTTCTTTCTAAAGTGTGCATATTTATTAATTTTAAATTTAATTATCCTTCATTTTTATGCCAAGTTTCACCAAATTTTGCTACTTTTTAATGTCTGGAGATGATTTTTGTTTAAAAAAATGAAAAAATGCAACAAGTTTTCTTTACATTTTTCTTAATGACGTTTGCGGGGCTTTGAGCATTGAAAAATTGCATTTTCAAGTCTCATGTTTTACCCTATGATTTGTATAATCTCTTTTCACGAATTTGGAGTTTTTGATATTTCTCATATTTTCTTAAGCCTTTAGATTTGTTCCATGTTGATGTACCATTCATTATTCATCTGTTTGCCTAAAGGCCAGCCTGATTCATTTATTTGCTTTTTCTGAGCTACTTCAATATGCTGGGATTTGAATATGTGATAAACTTCATCGGCCTATACACAATATCAGATGTATGATTTCAATCCCTGCCCTTACTTTTTTCCCCGAGAAAACTGTTTCCTTTGATCATTACTTTTTCTCGTTTGACAGATTTTGTCAGTGTGTTCTCCCACAGGGTTCATTACTCACACCATGTTGATTTGTGGTTTTATGATTTTTGTCTCTTTTTCAAGTTTTGAGTTTCTTTTGTTGTGTCTGTAATTCATCTCATTGTCTACTTTATCAAGCAAGCCTCCTGAGAGCGCTATTCAAGTTTCATGTTACTTGACCCATAGAGCAAGGAACAGATGCTTGACCATGCCCTTTGGTATCCATGTTTTTTTTTTTTAATACATAAGTTCTACACTCAGTGACATCAGACCGTGTCCCTGCGTCCATCTATTTCACAAACATACTATCATTCAATTTTACTTGGTTTTATTTCAGTTATGAGTTCAGTTTCAGTTACGAGTTCCCCCATTGTGTGTCATTTTTTCTCTATATCTCTTATCAGGTAAAGAAGTAATTGTTCATCCTTTGATGAACGAATGCAGTCGCCACAGTCATTTCCACGGTCCCGTGAACACTGAACAGCTAGCGGTGGTGACCTTCAACGTTTTGGTCCTCTCATCAATACATAATGGTTAACATGTTCTTGACGGTATCTGACGCACAATTCATGACGTATTAACATAAAACAGTGAACTTGCAAGTCTACACATTTCATTTGAATGATTTCAGTGTGGTGAAACTGTATTTTGTATGTTCTTTATTAGCAACCCAAACAAACAGTGGCCACAACAGCCAGACTGTGTCAACTTTTTAAAGATGCCTTCATGTTCTCACTTTCCTCAAGAATCGATGCTGCCATTGCTCGTTTCCTGCAGCATTGCAGAAAGCTTCCACCACTAACTCTTTGCAGGCTTCCATGGGCAGCTTTAAGTAGCTCTTGCAGACCAATTGTTGAATTTACTGTCCCAAGCTATACTCAATGACTCATAGTGACCAAGGCCCGTCTGTTAGTTGGAAATACACCAAACCTAAAAGAATTACAATCAATGTGGTAACCAGTCTACAGTGTCAGGTAAGACCTCAATAAACCTAAGCTCTCTCACTGTCTAATGGAACAACAATGAATAACTGTTATATTGATCCAACACCTCTTACAAGTGTGACCAGTTGACTATTCTAGTCACATGGTCCTTCCACTTTTGCTAGTCACCTGGTCCTTCCTCTTCTGTAGCATTCCTTATTCACTCCCAGAATTCAAAATTCTTCCTTCTATACATGTACCTCAAGAACAGACTTGTACTATTTTACATAATGCGGCCTTGTGTTGTAGAGCGCCCTCTCTTTTAAACCTTCACTTTATATGCTCCATAAAATAGCTGTCAACAATACTGTATTGCACCCTGTGACTTTCTTGAAATGACTGGCGAGAGAACAAAATTGTCTTTTGTGGCATCACATAACTCTGGACAAAAACTCGCTGTAGTTGTTCCAGGGGAATTGAAAGTAGGCCTCCGCTCCAGTTGGGTGTGGTTGCCAGTGTCTTGTGTTGGAGAGGACTTTGAACGTTACAACACATGAGCGGTCAAGAGTTAGCTCTGGGAAAATCGGTGTTGAAGATTCCAGTCTGGCCGCACAACATTTGAAAATGGGTATAACTCAGAATCCTTTTTGACCGGTGATGAATGGGAAGACCCAGGACTTCAATCAAATCTTTATGCTGGAGCAGATAAAGACGAGCCTCTGTAGAGGTAAAGCTAGCAGCGGAGATCTCTTTTTCCCCGAAAGACACATCTTGAAGATTGGTTTGCAAATGAGATGGGTTTTGCTGCGTATTTCGGATAAGGTTGTGTGCAGGAACTTGGATGTGGTAGTTGGATTATCTCCCCCTGGGTCTTGGTAAGCCTACCAATGGCAGCATGGGATGTCTTAGTAGGATATGTAGTGTGGATACGCAGTGGTGAATCCATATTCCTATGGTGCATTCACCGGGGCAGCCCCGGACAGTGATGGGGAGTCGGCCTGGGAAGCGTCATCATCAAGTTCATGCCTGGGTGCCCAAGGTGAAGAGATCTTAGATGCCTTGTTGCCTGGTTACCCACTCAGGTGGAGTGTAGCAGCCCGACGGTGGAGTGGATCATTTTGGTAGGCTGCAGTGGTTAGTGCCACTCTGGTAGGCTCTGTCCTCCAAACAGACACGAGCAGGGGGACTGAGGCAGAGGTATAATGTAACTCCGTAGGCAGCCCTGCATGTCGCTCAGTGACAAATCCCCAAATAACTAGGTATCTGAGATAAACAGTTGATACAGGTTAAACGGTCAGGCTTGCCCCCAACCTTACTGTTGCTGAGTTCATATACAGAATCGCCCGGTCGACCCTATAATGGTATTTTGTAGAAGGAATCCCAAATAGAATCAACGTAAGGTTACATGCATGTATGCACATAAATACAAAAACCAGAAAAGAGAGAAAAAAAAGACTTACACATACACTAGGGTCCCTCTCCTAATGCAACCAGACTAGTCGTTCCCAACCCACACACAGCAGTCTTCTACTTGCTGACCAAAATTCACAAATCTGGAAATCCAGGGCGCCCTATTGTGTCTGCGTGTAGTTGTTTCACTGAATTGATGTCCAACTTCCTGGACACCACTCTAACATCCATTTTCAAAACACTCCTGAGCTAAATCAAGGACACTAACTACGCTCTACGTCTATTCGATGAATCTGAGTTTCCAGGTTCATCCACCTTCTCTTCAGCGTGGATGTGAAATCGCTTAACACACCCGTTCCCCACGTGGGTGGTTTGGCTGCGCTCAACACTGTCTAGATCTTTGCCAGACTCAGGACCCTCCCACCAGTACTCTGCTTCGTCTGGTTGAATTGGTGCTCACGTTGAACAACTTCACATTCAATGGTGAGCACTACATTCAGACCAGTGGCGTGGCTATGGGCTTACAAATAGGACCAAGTTGTCAGTTTGTTGGCCACATCAAGGAGCAGATGCTGAATCAGTATCAGGGCGTCCGGTCGATGATATTGCTGATGCTATCACAAGTATGTGCAATGATTTTGTGAATTTTATAGTGTTTGCGGTTGCTTTTCACTCAGCACTGCGCTTCACATCTGATGTGTCACAACACTTTGTTACCTACCTCGACAGGCGCGTCCAGATCTGTGTGCGGAAATTTGGCACAACCATACATTACAAACCCACAGATTCTCACAGCTACCTGAAGTACCATTCGCCTCACTCTCTGAAATACAAGAACTCCATCCCTTACTCCAAGTTTCTTTGTCTGTGTGTAATTTGAAGAGGTGATGCGCAGTTCTCTGCGCGTGGTAAGGAAATGCTAGGTTTCTTTTATCAGTGCGGTTACCCTCTGGCTGCCACAGATGCTGCCTTCAACCCCGTATCTTCAATCCCACGCGAAATGGCTCTGAAACCCACCATGGCTAAGCTTTATTCGCTCGGGGATGATGCGGCCACTGCTTCTATTTTCACTGAACCCCCAATCTGTGTGTTTAGGCACTATAGTTCTGTCGGGGGACATGGTCATGCGAACCCGGTTAGATTCTGTCTCGCCATCCCAAGCAGGTAGCAATTCCCCTTGTTAGCACCCCAGATGTAACACCTGCCCGTACATAGTTACCGGCCCCCTTGGTACCTACAAAGTACACAGGGATCATACATGCATTACCAGTAATGCATAATGTGGTTCACTGCATTACGTGTTGTCGCTGTGGCAAACTGTACATCAGAGAGACCAAGCATCACCTTGGTGACCACTTCGCGGAACACTTGCACAGGGTGCGCCAACAAACACCCGGCTGCGCAGGCCAATTTCATAGAGCTGCTTCAGCACAAAATTTGCTTAAGCGCAAGAAAACCTTGTTTGATCAATCACGTAATCAGCCCAAATTCCATGATGTATATTGTTTTGGGATCGTATTTAGCTGTCGTTTGGTTAGCATGACAATCACATAGAGTTTGAGCTGGTAACCTTTGTTTTTTTAAGCAA